CATTTACACCTTTCATTATTAATTCTACCTCAGAAAAGGAGATCCGCAAAGCAATGCAAAGAATACCAGAATTAGAATTCATAACCCCCAGTAACTTCAATTTTAGTTCCGGTTGTCAAGTCACTTTATCTTTCCAAGCATTTGGTTTATGCCTACAACTAAGAAAATAACTACGTGAAAATATTCTGTAACATGTTTCCCTTCCTGTTTGTTCTCAATATTCAAATTACTTTTAAGGCAATGAGCCAAACAGCTTTTTAATTTAAAACACACACAAAAGTATATTACTCACGTCTTATAAGATTTTAATTTTGGTCAAGTATTTTTTAGTTCAACTAATTAGAAGGAAGTTATCTGCTTTCCCCGTTCTTTTAACAAACGTTAAAACTAAATGAAGCCTTAATGACTGCATTTTACTTATAGTGCTTGTAGACCAATGTAAAACTGCATACACAGGTAAAGAACTCCCTTGAAAAAATAAACAACAGTCGCCACATTTGGGAAAACCCTGAAAGCACAAAGTCAAAAATCATACCTAAGTTAAATCATGCTGAACTCCTACAATAAAATACTATTTACCACAGTTAATGCCAAAGCAATTCGATATAATGTACTTCCTTCAATCTGTAGATAGAAACATACCTGGCCATTTATATAGCTAAGGCTATATAACTGTGCCTGAGATGAAACTACATTTACACACCAAAGTTTTAAGTAACAAATTATGATCTCCTAAAATGACAAGGTATACTGCACACACCACAAAAACTGGCTTTGACATAAACCTTAGTCACACCTTAAAAATCTTTTAACTGGTCAATAACAAAAAACCATGTTCACTCTAGTCATTTTTTTTCCCTTCTGAGACAGGTTATCACTATGCAGTTTAGGCTGGTCTTAAACTCAATGCCCAGGATAGCCAAGATTCTTCTGTCTCTGCCTCCAGAGTATTGGGACTACAGGCATGTGTCACCACACCCCATTCTCATCTACTAATACACACTTAGATTCTCTCCACTTTGAACACTTAACACATTAATTAATTGTTGGTAAGATACCAAAATAATGTCCTCAGGATGTTTTAATCACAACGACCTCTTATAGTGTATTTTTATCTTTACTATTTAAACATTTCATTTGTTCAGACATTGTCAGACAGGTAAAAGGCAGAATTTTATGTTATTATTTGTCCTTATAATTAAAAAATTATAAACTCCCACCAAGTAATTATTTCTAAAAAGTTTTTAAGTATTATTATACTAATGAAAAATTTTAACTCAGTAGTTTCAAAATTACTATTCAGAAGGCAATCATATCTAAGAGGTCGCACCAGATGATAAAACATTAACAGTAAAAAGAAAACTTTCGTTTTACCAGAGGACTTGCACAAAAGATATCAAGCCAGGCATTCCATACATCTAAAACAACCTTGTCAAATTAATTTCTTTTTGTAAGGTTTATATAGTTCCAAAAGTTGAAATACAACTTAAAAACATTATAGGGGCCGGGGATTTAGCTCAGTGGTTTCGCCGCCTGCTACGCAAGCACAAGGACCCAAGTTCAATCCCCAGTACCAAAAAAAAAACCCAAAACATTATAAAGGCTGCGTGATGGTATTCACCAAAAATGATCTACTTTATAAACAGAAAGTTGCATGTAATACCCAGCTTCAGGTATTATTTCCATTCTTTTTGGCTCTCAGAACTAAAATCTGGACACATTGTGTAAACAATGGAGATAAAAATGATGAGCCTCACTACACCCTAGTTTTAAAAAGATATGGGAAACAATGAATACTGGACCCATTAACTTTAGCATCCAATATTACCTTCTAATCTCCTAGGCAAACTCTCTAATTCCATGATTCATTACCTACTTATTTCTACACCATGCTTGTCTTTCCAGTTGAACTCAAAGCTCCTTGAGAATATATGTAATTTTCACTGCTTTTCATTCCCCTCAGGAAAATATGCAATCTGGGGTATTCAATTAAGTGTTCAATATTTAAACACAAAGTATAAATTTAAGATACAATCCTACTGTCTTTCTAGAAGGGACCTCAAAATATAATTACTATAGTTAGTTAACAGGAATATGAACCCCAAGTGAAGCAGTTGGCCGAAAGTCAATCACAGTAACTCACTTCAAAGCAGAAAGAGGACTAGTGTCCAGTGAGCAGTCTTCCAATTACATTACCTCTCTTTTCAATGTTTTCTTCACAAATGACTACTTACCTAGCTAACTACTGACTCAGACACCAAAAGTAAAATCATCATTTATAGTACCTAGAAATTAAGACGTGGCAAGATATATTTAAAAATTTTAAAGGCCTTTTAAAGGCCGTAACTTTTAATGTACCAACCTCATATGGTGTTGAGAATTACAGGTCAAGAAACAGGAGACTTGATACATAGCTACTATTAAAAATCCAACTCCAACAGGGGCTAGGGATTTAGCTCAGTGGAGCCTCCGCCTGCCTCAAAAGCACAAGGTCCTGAGTTTGATCCCCCGCACCAAAACAAAACAAAAAAATCAACTCCAACAGATAATTCACTCGATTCACTAGTAATAGTTTTGTTTAGGCTTGGGATAAGTAAATCTAAACCTAACTTACTTAATTCCAATTGTTCCCCTTTTTTTGGCTTTGTTTTTAAGAGACAAGGTCTTGCTACACCATTTGGGCTGGCCTTGAATTGCAGCAATCCTCCTGTTTCAGCCTCTCAAATGCTGGCATTACAGAGTGCACCACCAAAATTCCAACTGATCTTAACATAATCTCTGAAAAAGTGTGCTTTGGGAACATATGTATCCCACATGTTCATGAACCTAATTTTCACATCAAACCACAAGTAAGTGAGCACAATAGCTTCCAAAAACTCTAATACAAAATACTAATATCCCTTAATTCTGCACTAAAATGAAACAGTACAAAGTTAATTGTGAAATGGTAAGTTAAAAGTTCATCGTGGAGATGAATGTTTTGTATAGTTTAGAAAACTTAAGTTACAAGACTAAAAAAAAGTAAAAGTTGATTACAAGACTAAGAAAAATAAAACATTTGATAACTAAACAAGCTACCTGTTTCCCCAACCTCAAGGGAAAAAACCCAGGAAATTAAATGTAAAAAGTGGATACAATATTTTCAGTGTCTGTGAGACGTTATTCAAACATTAAGTACAATATCTGGAATACAGTAAGAGTTCAATATACAGTGATTATTACCATGGCTACGTGCAGTCACAAAAATAGTCAAGTAACTTTTCCACAAAGAGCGAGGATACAAGACATTCTAGTTCCTCATTCTAAAAATAAATGGCAAAATGCCAAGTATGTTAGCTTAGAGAAGGGTTTCATACTAGCCAATTTGAGTCAGCATATAAATCAAACCGACACTTGATTTCCAATCCAAAAGCTCCTTATGTAGTATGACTCACCATATTCTCCATTTCTTCCAACTACGAAAAATAAGTTATATTTCTTCTTTATAACTACCACCCATGACCTTCGCAGAAATTAGGTTAGAGGCTTACTTTGTAATTCTTAAAGACACCCTTTAAATAGGTCTCCGAAGACGACTGCTTGGTGAGTTTGTAAAACCACCCAAGGTGGCACTAAAGCTGCGTGACCTTAACGTAGGTCCTGGGATCGATCCTACAAGCTCGCCTTTGGGGGACTCTGGCAACGCTGGCCCCCAAATTGGGCCTGACCATTAATTTAAAAAATGGCTCTTACCACCTCACCGTACTGGCTCAGGGCTCACTTCTGGGCAGCAAAACCCAACCCTCCCCGGATCTCAAATGCGTCCCCGCCCTGGCCCGCAGGGTCCCGGCTCCCCCTGCCATCCCGCCCGGGCAGAGCTGGGGGCCTCCGGAGCTCCGGACTCTGGTGAACGGCGCCATTTTAGGCGGCGGCGGCGGCAGCGACAACCAATCTGGGCGCGGGAGGCAGGGGGCGCCGGGTCGCTCCGGAGCCGCGGGCGCCGGTCAGCGAGGATCGGGGTCCGGAGGGCGGCTCCGCCATGTTGCACCCTTCCCGGGGCCGCCTCCTCGGCGGGCCTGGCCAACGGAGGCTCCCGTGGCCCAAGAGCAGCTCACCTTCTCGCAGAGGCTCTTAACCTGGGATTCGGACAGCTGCTTGCACTCATTCAGCTGCTCGATCCACTGGTCCAGCTCCTTGGTGAACACCTTCTCGTCCATGATGCCACCCGCCCAAACCGGCTGCCGCTCCGCGCTGCTCCCGCGCCGCCGCCCGCACACGGGCCACACGCACACGCCGCCACTGGTTCTTGGGGGTACTTCTGTGGTCCCTGGCGGTTGCTGGGCGCTAACGCCGGCCCGCTGGCTCTCGGAGCAGTGCTCGGCCGCCGGCCGCTGCGCCTCCTCCTCCGCTCGCCCTAGCTCCGGAGCTCGGCCCTGTAATGGCGGCCGCCCAGCGTGGTGACGTCACGCGGGCGTCAGGGGGCGGGGGGAACCGAGGAGGGGAAAGGGCAGGGACACGAACTGCGCAACCTCAGAGCAGGCCGCGGTCGGCCGCTCGGTCGAAGGAGGGACTCACACCGAAGACTAAGCACAGGCCCAGCGTAGCCGGCTGGTGACTGAGGTGCCCTCGCTTTTGGGGCGTGGTCCCTAGAAGGGCGGGGTCGCGAAAGAACGGAATCCGAGCAGGCGCAGTGCTCAAACCCCAATCCGGCGAATCCCCGAGCTGTACGCCCCGCGCAGGCGCAGTCGGGTGGGGCGCCTGGATGCCTGAACCCTCAGGAAGGCCGTCCGGTTAACTCGCTTCAGCTCGTCCCCTGGGCCCTAGCAGCCTGGTCACGGAAACGAGAATTGCGACCCCATAGCTTTTCCATGGTCCAACAGCGCTGGTACTGCGTGGGGTGCCCGCACCTTTCGGTGCGCCGAGTGGGAGTGACCGCCTCCACCGCTGGGCGCTGCCTGCACCGTGTAATTAGGTCACCCGTAGGCGGAGGAGCGTGAACCTGCCGGGGGAGTGACGCGCAGCGCATCTGACTGGCCGCGCGCACCTGTCCCCGGCCACGCCCTGTCCAGCGCGGGGCCGGGCCGAGGCTCCGCCTTTCTCGCGGCCCGTGACCACGCCTCCTCCCCGCTCTGCCCTCCCGCGCCTCGCGCCTGCACTTTCCCCGAGGCCGGGTCCCACTGACAGAGCGCCCCCCAACGTCTGCCGCCCCGGCCTGCTTTCTAGAGGAACATCGCGAAGGACGTGGACGCACCCAGGAAAGCTGAGATACCCTCGCGATGGGACCTTGGTCTAGTTAGGTCTCTTTAGGGTTTGCGAAACATTTTCACGTTGTATTGTTCCTCCATTTACAGAAATATTTGACTTTGTAGAGCACCACATATTTGCTAGATCCTGTGCCCTGAGCGATAGCGGGGTCAGTCAAATAGACACGAGATCTCCCGCCCTGATGGAGCTTGTGTTCCCCCAACAAAACCGGCTGGAAAATGTTTGGACTAGGCAGCGAGACACTACGATACCCCCAGCATTTGAAAGGCGTAGAAGCTTTCCAAAGGTTCCTTCACCATGAAGAACAAGGTTGGAGCGGTACCCAGATGCCTGTTTCTAAGTCCCTATCCTCAGTGGCGGTCAGCCTCGCCGAACCTAAGCGTTCCGAGATACCCTGAAGGCGAGTACTCATTCTGCAGCTTGGAGGGCATCACCGAGCCACAGGCTGAGAAGGGCCGGTGGCCTCAACCTCCAGTCGTGGGACAGAAAATTCTCCTTCATCCAAGACAACCTGCTTGGCAAGGGCTCGGCCTCCCTAGGCTGAAAATTATATCTGCTTTCCCTTTGTACCTCCCACTGGTGTGCCAAGATCTACTCCTCCAGAAAGCTTATCTTATACTTAATTTAACCAGCCTTGTGGAAAGTCTTTTTAGCTCCAGCTCTGACCCTATGTTGCAGTTAACATCCCCAAAGAATAGAATGAGAGTTATGACCCTGTGGAATGAAGGAGGGGAGATGCACATCACTTGGTGCCCGCCTGCCTGGTGTGCTACCTTATCTTATTCTTCACCATTTTCCTGTGCTTGTGTAAGAACTGACCCTATCTGATAAAGCAAGAAGCAGCCAGGCACCCCCCCCCCCCAAAAAAAGGGACTTGCCTAGACAGTCAGGATTTAACACTTCAAACTCCCAAGGTCTCAGCCGCAGTCACACAGCTGTCTAAGGACTGAAATACGGAGCAGGGTCAATATACTTTCTCTTTGCCTGTGTCCTCTTATCTGCAGAGATGGAGGTCAATTAAAAAGTATTGAACACCCCTACCCACTACGTGCTGAAATTATAATGGCAGGGTTTTTTTCCAATGTACTGTGAGCTTTGTTGGCAGCATTAATGTAGGTGTTATTTTCTCGATGCAGATTACTTGGCTCACCACCATCGCAAAATGGAGGGAAGATATAATTATATGTACTTAAAACATCCTGCCAAACAATTAAATGCCATGACTTAACTTCTGAAGGAATGAATTCTAGGAAGAGGCTCTTACTAGCATTCAGGCAATGAGGTAAAGCATATATGACTATAAACAATACGTAACAGTGTTAATCAGAATCCAGAATATTTTCTTGCTTTGTAGAACTCAGAAATTATAATTAATGGATTGAAAGGTGAATTTGATTAATCTGGTCTTAACTAATTTGACTGTCTCCATTCTAGAGGTAAGGGAATACTGGAAACAAAAGTTTTAAAGCAACCCCCCCCAAAATAATTGTCCTTTAACTTACTGGCAAGAAACAAAAAGTAAATAAAGCAAATTTGCTTCGAGAAAGAATGTTTGCTCAGATGGCAAATTCAGTCTACAACACATCTGAGTGTTGCCCATGATGTTTAAACATGGCTATAAATAAAGATCATATGATGAGGGCGGGGTAGGAGGAGGGTAACCTTGAGCAAATAGCTTTATAATAGGCACCCTCAGCCAAGATATAAAAATTGACATTAAACATGGAAAAGGAATGAGATGTATCTTGTTTGTCAGCAGTTCTCTTGGTGTTACGTTAGGTTTATTTTTTGTTGTTGTTGTTCCTTACTAAGACAGAGATTAGAGCTATGTTAGGAAATGGCTCTGGAGCCTGGTAGATGTGGTTTGAATTCCCATTCTGCAGATGTCTACATGGATGAAGCCTGGAACGTTACCTAACTTCTGAGTCTCAGCTTTCTCATCTGAAAAGTGGAAATAACTGTAATAGCTGAATAATTCATATTTTTTGAGAATTAAATGAAGTTATAAATGTCTAACACCAAAATAGTATATAATAAATAGTAAGTGTTACATATTTTAATTATAGTTTCTAAGTAGGTTCTTGTTTTAAATACTCTCTAATGCCACTTAAGAGTCCCTCAGTGCTTGCCATGAAATACATACAGGTTTTTGGGTGAAAAATAGGATATAGGGATATCAGAAACATAGAGACAAAGCCACAGCAGGAAGTGGAGATGGGGAGGAAATCCAAAGAGTGCAGATGGAACCAAAAGAACATCCCCTCTCTTCCTTTGTCATCAGCAGACTTATTGGATTGTCACTTAGGAATAAACAAAAGGGTTGGTACAGTTGGTCAGTCATATGCTCCTGTCAGCTCAGAATCCTGTACCTCAAAAGGGACCCACACCTGAAAAAGATGAAGTGCTTTTACACACCTAGGCCTTCTATGCCCCAGAAGTCCCCAAATAAAGTCCCAAGCAGTCAACGTCTTAGTGGCTCTGCCTATGGAAAGCCTGCCACAACTAGACCTACGCACCCACCAGATTTCTACACTCAGTTTACCCAGTGCCCCCTGCCACTCACTGGTATCTACTTCTATTCCTTTCCTTTGTAGTTTTCAAACAAATTAACTTGACAAGGTATGTGGCCCTTTCACCTGGAATTAGACTTTTATGAATGTGGCTTAAGTTTTGTGGCCAGGAACTTTGCTACAGATACAATACAGACCTTTCTACTAGCTCCTGCAGTTTGGAGAAAGGATCATGACCTTGGGTGAGGCTCATGACGTCCAGATAGCATTCTTAGTTACAGAAGGAAATATTTTTCTGTTACAGGAAAAAAAAAAATCTCTTAAAGGCAGCGTTCAATAGTCTGGAGGCAGGGTGAGCCTTATGAAAACTAAAAATCTTATAGAAGTCTGTTTATTGACAGAATATTAGGATATTAATAATATGTTAAGTACAGAAAGTAAAAGTGTATATATTACCCTACCTTTATTAAACATATTATAAATTTGTTTGTAAGAGACTTTAGAAAGCTATGATGAAGCATTAATAATAGTTGCTTCTGATGAGTGGGATTATTTTTTATTTTCTTTCTGCTTGATTCTTTTATAATGAATACATACTGCTTTTAAAACTGAAAAGTAGCCAGATGTAGTGGCACATGCCTGTAATCCCAGCACTTGGGAGGCTGAGGCAGGAGGATCACCATGAGTTCAAGGGCAGCCTGGACTATATAAACTACATAGTGAGTTCAAGGCCAACCTGAACATATCTGAAAACTTATCTCTCTCTCTCTCTCTCTCTCTCTCTCTCTCTCTCTCTCTCTCTCTCTCTGTACTGGGAATTGAACTTAGGACCTTGTGATTGCCAGGTAGGCACAGCGCCAATGAACTAAATCCCCGGCCCTGAGATCGCCAAAGAAGCCCCCAAAACTAAATAAAACCATGAAAAGGAAATGTTCAGACTATCTAGGTAAACATGACAAGGCATCTCTCGGGAGAATCCCAGGCCCAAAGGACATGGAGCCGGGAGCTCTGCTACATACTCCACTGTGCCCGGGAATATCACTCAAGGGCCTCCCGTTCTTATGGAAAGGACTCTGTTCCCCTGTGGCCTCCCCACATGGCTCTCACAAGCTTCTGCCCTCAGCCCAGCCTGTCCCCTTGGTCCCACAGTTAATGGTGCGCTCATCCATTCTTTTGCTCACCTTGTTCCTGCCCTAGGATTGTGCCCTTGGATCTATGTGACCCCCTACCTGGCCAAGCACCCTGAGAACTCTTCTCTGATGACTCGGCCTCTTGACTGGCTGTGCCCACTAGATTAGGAGAGCACAGAGGCTGCACAATGGCACCGGGCCCCGGTACCTGTCGGAGCAGAGGCTTCTGCACAGGAGGACTTGTTGGTGAGCCCACGGGAGATGTTCCCTGAAGGCGTCCAAAAACACTGTGGAAGACAGGGACACTTGCAGGGAGCCACGTGGGAAATCTGTTTACATTTTGCCCTTTATTTTCTAGATACGCAGTTCACCAGTGCTCTAGCCTGATACCAGGAAAATTTTGAAATTCCATTCCCCAAAATAGATGAATTTGGAAGGACCGAACCAAGCTGTGAGATTCATTTGCAAGGACAAATTATAAAACCATACTTCTATCTGATGGACTCTCTCCTTCTAGGAGTGTTCATTGTGTAAGTCGACAGGGAACACCAAGTAGGAAGGCTCACCTTTAAATGCTTATCTTTTTCTTTCCATGATCCTGGGGATCAAACCCAGGGCCTCACACATACTAGGCAAGTGCTCTACCGCTTACCCACATCCCCAGCCCGTTTTTTAGTTTGACTTTTGAGACAGGCTCTTGCTAAGTTGCCCTGGCTGGACTCAAACTTGTCATCCTCCTCCCTCAGCCTCCCAAGTACCTAGGATTATAGAGCTGCACCACTTCACTTGGCTTTCATCTTTAAGTTCTGATTTTAGAGGATTGAATTGAGTCACCAAACAAAAGAAGTAACAGTGTATACAGAAAAAAAAAAGTGCCTACAAGTTGATGGTTGTTCTGAGAATGACGCTAAGGAGTTGTCTGATCTTTGGGAGAATGGGCAAAAGGAAGTGAAGCCCTGTTAAGTAGTAGCAATAATAAGGGCTGGGCCAGGAATTTAGCTCCGTGGTTTCACCACCTGCCTTGAAAGGGCAAGGTCCTGAGTTCAATCCCCAGTACAAAAAAACCCCCCAAAAACCCAAAATAATAAGGGCCTGCATTCATTAAGACTTGCCATGTGTCAGGTACTCTTCTAAGGGCTTTACCCATATTAATTCACTTATTCCTCACACTTAAAAGGTAGGTACTGTTATTACCCTCACTTAGACCCAATTCATCTAAACACACCCATCCTACTCCACTTTTGCTCCCCATACCATACCCTCTCGCTGTCTTTTTTCAATCTTTCTTCTTTCTTCCTCTCCTCTTTCCTCATATGTTCATCCAGTTGGGATAATCATAGGCACTATTTGTCTCCTGTTTTGGTACTCAGAATAAAAAAGGCTGCTGATCACTGAACTATGCCTTTCCAGGCCACCTTGCTTGTGAATGAGACCCAGGCCATAGGCTGAGTACATGCAGCCTGGGAAGCAATGAGAATCAAAAATTAAACAATTTTGGGGCCGGGGATTTAGCTCAGTGGTTTCGCCGCCTGCTGCGCAAGCGCAAGGACCCGAGTTTGATCCCCGGTACCAAAAAAAAAAAAAAAAAAATTAAACAATTCTGAAAACAAATTGGTGTAGCTAGACTGGGTGCTATTTCCCCGCACTGGCGAGTATCAGTCCTGATGTACTGGTCTTGTCTTAACTTGATACCACAATGGGCAAAGCACTCTCTTTCCTCCAAGAATCAGTTGTTGTACGAGGAGAAAAGATGTGGACTCATCCCACCTCTGTCACCAGGAACCTGAGTGATCCTTTCTTGTCAGCAACATGGGGACTGGGCTGTACTGGGAGTTCTCAATTTCTTAGTGCAGAGGTGGGTTGGGGGGAAGTCTATCAGCTTGTAAAAGATCATGTGTGGGAATTTTCTGTTATTGGAATTTTTATTGAGACAGTTTTAGATTTACACGCAGTTGTAAGAATACATAGATTCATTTCCTAAGGTAACACTTTGTAATACTATAGTACCATACCACAACTCTGATACTGTTATTGATTCAATCGGCCCCTCACATTCAGATTTCCTAGGTTTTTTTGTCTTGTTTTTGTTTTTGGTACCAGGGATCAAACTGGGGGGGCAGGCGACGGAACCACTGAGCTAAATCCCCACCCCCTAGATTTCCTAGTTTTATAAGATCCACATTTGTGTATGTGCTAGTGTGTGTATAGTGCTATGCAACTGGGAATTTTCTTTTGCAGGTGCTTTTTTCTGGAGAAAGTTATCTTAGTTTTTTCAAGTGTCAGAGATCCACTGAGGGGTTTGATTCTAAGCTCTGGGATTTCTAGTAGGTCATACCCAAAATCCCTATAGCTCTGTGTTCCAAAATTAACATTTAATTAGCACTGACCACACGGCAGTCATAAGGGCAAGGCACATGGGCAAGAGATGATGGGGAGAGGGATAGGAAGAGGGGAAACCCAAAGGTGCACAGACCGCTGAGCTTAGCTCTGGCAGCCAGAGAGGCAGTGCAATAGGTACACAAATCATTTATTAATCAGGAACCGAAGAGGTGAAGCTGGGCTTGTTGCTTGGCAAAGTGGGGGAAGCATTTCCACAGAAGCTGATGTTTGAGCTATATCTTGACGGATAATCCAGAATTCTTCAGCTAAGAAGAGAACTCACTGTTAAAATCATTCCCTTTGAAATCATATCTATTCTTGATGTTTGGAGAAAACATAGGAAACCATGCCTACATTTGTTTATTCTACAATGTTAAGGTGTCAGATTCTTCAACTCTCATGCCCAAGTGCTGAGGCCAAGAGAGTTTTTCCTCTTGAGTATGTTTTCCACTATCTTGTCCAAATTGGATACCAGATCCTGCCTGCCTAGCTTGAGAAAGGCATTTTATCTCTGGCGCCTTGATCACATCAGAGCTTATATTTAAAGTATGAGTGATGAGAAGAGACTGCAGCTAACTCGCTGGCTCAGTCCCATCCCTACAGCGCCGTCCTCTCCACCCGATGCTCAGGAAGTCAATCCTGCAGTGGCTGCTGGGAGTTAGGGCCATGAGGAAAACCTCTCAGCTCTCCAGGCACTAGGATCTCCTTTACCACAAGGGATCATCAGAAACTCCCAGGGGATTGGGGGCCCTGGCTCCTCCTCTGGACCTCCCTGTGGCTCCCTACTAGGCTCAGACACCCCAGGGGAGCTCTTGCTAGGGCTACGCAGTCCTAACACTGTTCTCAGGGAGCTCATTCTTTCTGGTTTAGCCATCTCAAGATCCAAAAGACTAAGGCTACTACCAGGCCCACACTCTGAGGAACTCTTAGAAGCTGCATACAAGGGACCATTTCTTATGATCTCTTGTCCTCATGAAAGTTACTGAACCCCCAGGCCTCGGTATCTGCATCTATAATATGGGGGTCATAATAGTACCATCTTCATAGGGTTATTTTAAGATTTGAGCGGATTAAACCAAGTAAAACTCAGCACATAACAAGTACTCCATCTACTTTAGTTATTATTAACATGTTTTTATACTAAAGTTATTTATGATAATTTATGAACTACTGCAATTTCAAGGAAGAAACAGTCCTAACATCTAGATATAAGTGCTATCCTATCATCATTTTGATGTATAGGCTTCCTAGCTTTGTGTGCGTGTGTGCATGCGCGCGCGCGTGTGTGTGTGTGTGTATACACTTAGAAAAAATAAAAAACTAGATTCATATTATGTAATGTTTTATTCAACTGATATAGCATGGATATTTTCCCATATATTTAGATGCTATTGGAAAATAATATTTTTCAAATACTACCTACTTTTCTAGCATATTAATATAACCCAGTTTATACTGATCCATTAATTTGATACTTAGATTGTTTCCTATTTTTATATTTATACATACAGTTCTGTGATAAATGTCCTTGTTCATTAATTTGTGTGTGAATGTCTCTATTTATTTCCTTAAGATAAATGCCTGGGAATGGAATGACTGCACCCAAGGTGATACCTGTTTTTGTTTTGTTAACATTAGGTACACAGATTAAACACAATCCTTGCTTCATGACACATTCTCATAATTGGTATGTGATTGGCCCTGTTTTGCTAATTTAGGTAGTAAATTTATTAATTTAACAAGGTAATTGGTGCTTATAAATCCACAACCCAAAACAGAAATGAGGACCAGGATAATAACCAATATTTAACCACAGCCCCTCCTACCTCTCCCTGTGCTCCTCAACCAAAGGAACCATCCTGAATGCTATTCTCATTTCCTTGCTTTCCTTTCCGAAAGGGCAACTTTAAAAATTATGCTTAGTTGTATAAAAAGAGTATCACATTATATGTAATCTCTTAGCTTTTTCTCACTTAACATGACTTTGCTAAAATTCATCCATATCATTGCATTTCACTGTAGTTTGTTCACGTTGACTCATGTAAAATAATCCAAAGAATAAATATACTATGTATTTGCTTTTGTTTGCTTGGAATTTTTTCATTTGTTTCTTTTGTTATTTTAGACAAGGTCTCACTATGGAGTCCAAGCTGGCCTTGAACTCATTATGTAGCCCAAGATAGCCTTGAATTTGCAATCCTCCTGCCTCAGTTGTCTGAGTGCTAGGATTATAGGTGTGCATCCCCATGTCTGGCATATACTATAGTTTATCATCCACTTTTCCACCCATGGGCAAATTGCATTGTTTCTAGAATTTTGTTTTTGCACACAATGCTACCATGATATTATTACAGTTATTATAGTGTTATACCTGTTCGAGGCGAGTATTTCTCTAGGGACTCAATTTACACTTCCACCAGCCATAGATGAGAGGTCCTTTGGATCTACACCGTCTGGCATTCATGTCTCTTTGGCTGTCTCCATGTGGTCAGGCTGTTCTCCAGGTAGTTAGGTCCATTTACCAGCATACATGAGAATGCCCATTTCCCCCAAACTCTTTCCAACAGTGAGGATCATTCAAACATTTCTTTTGAAGATTTGCTAGGAGGAAGGCAGTATCTCCCTACTGTTCAATTTTGTGGCAGGGCGCTGACTCCTCCAAAAGCTGAGAAAATGGTCTTGGTTCAGAGACTTGTTCCCAGTCTGATAACTTTAGTGACATTCCTGGAACTAATTCCCCAGTGGCTCAGCTGCTTTCCCATGTCCTAAAAGAGGTGACACTGTTGAAAGGGGGGAGCTAGGGGAGCTTGGATGGGAAACAAGCCCAGCTCAGCACAGTGAAAGCTTGTCTCCTGGTCCCAGCCCCTGCCAGTGTCAGATCACCCCTTCTCCTGATGAAATAGGCATTATCTCTCTCTACTCCCTACCCAGCAAAGGCCAGCATAATCCGACCCTTTGTTACGTATTTGAATTGATAAATTTAAACCTCCTTCCCTGCTCTGCAGTAAAGGAACTTTCTATTTTGAGCTTGGTGACATAGTCAAAACGAAGCAGAAAGCAGCAGGCTGCAGCACGAGTTAATAGTTTTTCTTTAAGGAACAGAGAGAGGATCCACAAGCAAACAGAAAGACCTTCCAAAATGTGTTGATTGCCTAGCACCATGCAGCCCATTTGCCTACCTTTCTGCTGACATATATTTCAAGGCTGAAAATCGAACACTGCCTAACAGTCAGAGTAAGGTGGCAAATTAATCCAAAACTATCAGATCTCTTAAATCAATTTGCCAAGAATGTATTAATACCCTCCTGTGTACCTAAGGACTGGACTAGGTATGTCTGGGAAAATAATTCTGTCACGAAGGTGATTTTTAGCCACCAAAAATTATACGCATTTGAGGAATGCCCTAAACATTTGCCTAAGTATATGATTTCCTCTCCTAGTCTGTGGGTGAGAATTTCCCCACATTGCAGCAGAAGCCTGGATCTCAAGAAATCTCAGACCTGCAAATGGGGCAAATGTATATCGACTTAAACAACTGGCATCACCTGGCACAAACCCCAGCCTGGAAGAATGGGATAGAAGAGAGTAAGCCTTCACACTCTCTAGTTTACCAAACCTTCTCATATGGGAAGTTTCAAAGATGTAATAATAAGTAGATATGAGAATGTAATAAGCCCAACTTATCTATATCTGGCTTCAACAGTTGTGAACACAGGCAGTCTTATTTTGTCAACACTCACCTCTCCCTGATCTCCATTTAAAAACAATTTACAGTTATTTTCAAGTTTAAGTATTCTATATTTATTTGTAATTAAGACTCTTGTCTTAACCATTATATCACATCTAAAAATTAATAATTCCTAATGTCATTCAGTACTCAGCCAAAAGTCAAATTAACCTGATTTCGATAAATATCTTTCTGCAATAGTGTAGTCGAAAGGCCAGGGATGTAGGTCAGTGGCACTGTGCCTGCCTGGCAAGCGTAAGGTCCTGAGTTCAATTCCCAGTACCGAAAAAAAAAAAAAAGTATAGTTCAATCAGGAGCAAAACAGCATCTTTTGCATTTGTTGATATACCTCATAGCTAAAATTCATGCACCATGAGTTAATAATAATTTTACTTTATCGTTTTAGTCACTTTTAGTTTATAATTATTTAATTTTAATTTTTAACAGTTCCTCTTTTTCTATTTTCTTTCACAGCATGGCAATCTCAGGATAGTCAGACTTTTCTTTTCTTTTCTGTAGTAGGTGCTGGGGATGGAACCCAGAGGCTCATATATGCTAGACATACATCACTGAGCCACAGCCACAGCCCTCAACATCTTACATGCACCTGAGAGCTGCAAATGCAAGAGCTCCAGTCAACAAGGCGGATGCTATGTCACTTTCTTTCTTTCTTTCTTTTTTTTTTTTTTTTGGTACTGGGAATTGAACTTGGGACCTTGCCCTTACGAGGCAGGTGGCGGAACCACTGAGCTAAATCCCTGGCCCCTATGGTATGTCACTTTCTTTCTATGATCTAACCTCGGAAATCAGAGTGTCACTTTTGCTGTTCTCCGTTGGGTATTAGTTATTCCAAACCCACCCAGCTCCAAGGGACTCTACCTTTAGAGTAGCCAGGTTCTAGAAGAGCAAGTGGGATGACCCACTTGGAGATTAGGACAGTCAATCAAGCCTGCCTTTCCTGGACCAACCAGGAAAGATGTTGCAAATGGCGGAAACCTAGCGGAAGAGAGAGAGGAAGGAGTTTGTTTGCAAGGCCATACCCCACATTGGACATTGTACTGTGGATAGCTGTATCTTAGAGTGGGGCTACATCTGCAGGATGAAAGAGCAACTATTCTAATACACCTAAGATAGCATATGGGCAAGAGGTACCTAGTGGGATGTAACAGGTCACTCATCTAACTTACACTTATTGGGCATCTACTGAGCACATGCTATTTTGGAGAGTGTTAGGCCTTGTTTTAGTTTAAGATGCACCCAAGTTAGCGAAGAAATATCTCAGAGTATCAAAAACATGGCACTAGCTTACTCAAATATTATGTTTAAACAGTGTAGGTAATGGTGCATTTTTTTTATTAGATTGATCTTGAATGTTCTAGACCTATCTTCAAAGAAGCTGAGATATGTTCCAAAGTTCAAGGGTCCACTCTAATCCATCTACTGCCAGCCTTGGCTGGATGCAAAATGTAGACACACAATTTCTAGGAAACCAGGCCAAAAAGATTTAAGTCTCTCTCTCTCTCTCTCTCTCTCTCTCTCTCTCTCTCTCTCTCTGTCACTTATCATTAACATAGCTTTTTCATATTTGGGTTAAATCCCCAGGAGAGTAAATGCTTATCTCTCTTTCTCTCTCTGAAAAATAATATAAATAAAGCATAGTAATTCCAAGTATATTAAAAAGCAGGATAGCCTCATAAATCCCTGAGTTTGATAAAGGCAGATTTACATTTCTATCAGTGAGATTATTAAAATGCTGTGATCAGGCTGCCAAAGCCATACTGGTGATCAACAGCAGGGTGAAGGAGAGTGTCAAATGGCATGTCCTAGGATTTTTAACTCACTAAGCCTAGGATATAAAGCATTAATCACACTTTTCAGTTCATGGCACATTATACTATAATCAGCCCACACAAGACCCCTCTTTTGTTCTGTATACACATGTTGTCTTAGTCACTTTCCTCATCACTGGGACATAATACCTGACACCGCAGCTTAAAGGAGGAGAGGTTTATTTGACTCACATTTGAGAAGCTGCAGTCCTAGTCCTAGCAGCATAGTAGGAGGTTCTGGTGGAGGGAGGCTGCTCATGTCATGACAGCCAGGAAGCAGAGAACAAAGGGAGGAGCCAGAGTGGAAGACATACCCTTCTACTGTAGGTCACTCCCCCAGCGACCTGCCTCCCCCACCCAGCCCCACCTCCTAACCGCTGGTTACCATAGCCCTCCCGTGTTCCAATCCTCTTCCAAAAGTCCCACCTATGAGCACATGAGGCTCTTGGGGGACATCTAGATATAAACCATTAACAAATGTGTGCATGTTTTTCCATTCCTCCCTCTTGTCCTTCCCCCATAGGTAACCACTCTAATATATTGAATTATATTTCTTGTGTTCATATGAAGTAGACTGCTTGGTTTACATGTATTTTAATTTACATCAATAGTATGGTGTTACATATCTCATTCTGGGCCTTCCTTTTTCACTCTTCATTCTGTTTTTATACCTAATCAATGTTGCTACGTGCACATCTAGTCCATCATTCTGACTGCGGCAGAGTATCCCTATTATGTACCCAGCACAACTGGCACCTGTTTTTCCAGTCATGGGCACCCTAAATGCCTCCAACTTCCCTTCCCTGAAGCAGGCTGACCTGGGCGGTCTTGTGAGTGACCCCAATTAGACCTAGGTAGGAATCTCCTTGGGTAAGGTCTCATCCATATGCTGGCCTTATGGAAGGCACCTCTTCCTCTGAGAGAGGATGCAACCCCACAGTAAAGACAAGGCCTGGTAAAGTGAAACTCAGGCTGGGGTTTCGCCCTCACTTCCTGTCTTGAGTGAAGCCATGTACAGGGCACAATGTATATAACTGCAAACAAACATTCCTTCACTCTCACTCACACCATTTCTCTTGTTTGCAACTTCTCACCTGGAAATGGAGGGTATGGACTGCATACAGAAATCTCATCATAGGATAAATGCTACTTCGAGCAAGCAGTGCCACACTGCTCGAGCATTTCAAACATGGGCTGACACAGTTTGAGGAGACACCCTGGCATAGTTACGAGCCCACAGGCACCGGGGAGTCAGGTGTGAGGAGAACACATGGATAGTAGAGCAGCTGTGCCGGCGTGACCCAGCTATTGTGCGTGCTCATTCCATCTTGGAAATGACAGAGAAACATCTTTTCCTTTAATGCCACTTTCCTGTCTTGTGTGGACACAGGCAAAATAGCTGGCTTCATTCACAGGGCAGTGGCTTCAAACATCTTTGCTGCAAGTGCTAGAGATCTAGCCATGAGCCACCCTGCCATTCCCCTTGATGAGCATCACAGATAAGGACAGTTCCCACTCAAGAACATCAGGACAGGCCTGGAGTCAACCATCCAGGATATCTTTTTAAAACTGGTCAGGTTTAAAATCCATCAGAGATCCTCAGTGACCATACAGTACACTTAGGCCCTCTTGAAATAACTACAAGTGAAACAGCTAAGCTATAAAGAAAGTATTATTCTCATGCTGATGTTTTCTGATTGGTCAAATGAAAACAATTATAATGAGAACTTCTACAAGGGGACAAGACTCAATTTATGACTTTTCTGGGAAAAAAAATCAATGAGGTTTTCAGCAGATTACCGAAAGATGATTCCAGAAGTCCAACTATTACTATATTACTAGCTTGTGTTTGTGAATTGAGAACCACACTCCAGTACTTATAATAAGCCTCGGTAACAGCCCAGTATAGACAGGAGTGAGCCACACTGCACACCCTAGTCATTAACATTATCATGTGGTCATCGAAAGGAAGCAGGAGTTGGGCTTTGGAAAACAACGCAAAGGAACAGAGGAGGAAAAGAACAACTCAGTGTGTTCATAAACAATCAAGATCCAGACACTGTTTAGTGCTCAGTGGGCTGTGACACAACCGTAACACACACTTCACACTTCATATTCAGAAAGACGAGGATAGGTTAAAATCTGGAGATGGCCACACACACTGAGATTCACCAGTGATCTGGCTGGTCTATGAAAGACAAGGACATCCCCTGCCCGGTGAGGTCTGACTCACCCTTCTTGAAGGCCTGCAGCTCGTATTTATATCCTTCCACCCTTCCTCCTAGAAACGCATCTGGTCTATGAAAGACAAGGACATCCCCTGCCCGGTGAGGTCTGACTCACCCTTCTTGAAGCCCTGCAGCTCGTATTTATATCCTTCCACCCTTCCTCCTAGAAATGCATCACCCCAGGAAGGCCTGGAACCTGTCTGTTCCTGAAGGTCTGTTGGTTAGACCCCATCCCTGTATCCTGCAGGTCACCAGCTCACATCCCTGGCTTGTTCATGTTCCCTTTCAAAAGGACCATGTTGGCCTCTCCTGTGTGTAAATCTACAGTGGCATCTCTCCTTGCAGTGCGAGTCCAGGCTCCTGGAACAATGTATATCAGAACTGGCTCCTATAGCTCCCTTCAAGGTCTCAGATTTGGAATGGATACTCAAGCCATTCTTCCTGACTCCTCCTCTGCTTGATTCTAAGTCTAAAGAAAGTAAGCCAGGTCGTGGGATGTAGCTCAGTGGCGCCATGCCTGCTTCAAAAGCTCAAGGTCCTGAGTTCAATCTCCAGTACCGGGGAAAAAAAGAAAAGTAAGCCATGTTTGTTAATTTATGTATTTATTTGTTGGATTTAAAAGAATCTTCTGAGAGACTCAAAGCTCATTTAAAAATTCAAGGAGCATGTTATTATTACTTAACAATAATCAAGGAGTCATTGTGCCACCAGATGACTAATCAAGAAGAAATGGGGGCCGGGGAGTTAGCTCAGTGGTTCTGCAGCTTGCCTCCCAAGTGCAAAGTCCCAAGTTCGATCCCTGGTACCATAAAAAAAAAAAGAAGAAAAAAAGCCTTGTAAGAAGAAATGGGCCCAAAACAAGGCAAGGGAGATTTAAATTGGGTGCCAAGGAAGTACTTGACAAAGAGAAACACAGGCTGAACTTGGCAGTGGACACAGAGTGGGAATGTCAGGTCATTTCTGGAGTCTGTCAAGGAGCGGAATAGGGAACTTGCATACTGCAGACTGGAGGCTTGCCTGTCTGAAATCAGGGAAAACCCAGGGCTCCTTGTAAACCCAGTAACACTTCAGGGGGTGTCTAGATCTTGCACCTACAAGCTTTTTTTTCTTAACAATTGAAAAAGTGCCTATTCCTGAGGAGAATAAGGAGGCCGGAGAGCCTTCCAAGGATTCCGAGAGCTCAAAAAGCATGAGATGGTAGCCTCCTGAGACCTCCTGTTTACTATTAATTTTCTTAACCACTTTTAGTGGGCCCTGGGAGGCAGAATTTCAAATGTTAATGTCCACTTAGTAGATTAAACTTTCAATTAATCAAGTAAGTCTTACCTATTGTAGGCAAGCCAAAATGGCCAATTATCCATTCAGAATGACTGTAAAAGGTTATTACTACAGAAAACTGCCCAGAGGTGTTGAACAATGCCCAAAGGGGAAGACCTGACCTCACTGCAGTTCCCATGAGCTCCTCAGAGTACACAGGTGGACAGGTCCATCCCAAAGCCCAGCAGCTCCCCTGCACTGCTCCACTGGCACTAAGCCCTTGAATGAGAAAGTTTCACACTGTTGCCTCAGCCAACAGCCAGGAAATCTCATTTCTGCATACCAGGCTCCTTAAGAAATGAATCTGCTTTACTTCCGGCTTTATTTCCTTCCCACGAGCATAGTTCAGTTTCAGCATAGAGCCAGAGAGGACTGACTAAACATCACTCCTCAGTCAGTCACTTTAGCAGCTTCCTTATGAGATAAGCCATCTTCCCTAAACTTCCTTCGGAAAGCCAAAACTAGAGATTACAATTCTCCAATGGAGCACTCTGTTAACTTTTGATTCTCCTTGACCATAAATCCTTCCCAAAAGCCCCAAAGTATAGCTCTAGGACTCAAGAGGGAGGGAGGTGGCTGATAGTACAGAAATGCTGAGCAGATGTGGCTACTAGAGAGAGCCTTGCTGTATAACTATATGACCTTGAGAAGTCTCTGAACATTCAGGGATTTGGATCACCTTTAAAATAATGCCTTGACCTTTCTTAGCAATACAGTTTTCTACACCTTTATGCTAACGGAAGAAAGGAGGCTGCAGCTGCTGCAGAAGACTTCTGGCGGCACTAACCCACTCAGAAGAACTGGAGCTGTGTTGAAGCCAGCCCCAGAGAGGGGGGCAGTCTCCTGGGAATTGATCTACGGTCCTCACCACTTGGGACTGACTGTGTCAGTGGAGATGTGGCTGCCATTTTCATCCCTAGTTCCCTCTTCTCCCCTTTTCACTCTGACACTATATTATTTCTGTTTTACAGGAAGAAAAAATATGCATTTTCCCCTAGCGTCGGGAAGAAGGGCTGCCCATGTCTGAATGAGCTCAGATGTCTCTGACACCTAAACCAACCTTTATACAATCACTATCCCTTGCTAGGCTTTGAAAAAAAATGTGTACACTTATCTCTTATCTTGTCCTTAAAATTTTATTTTATAATCCCTGAGAGATCATAGTTCTCCAGAACATAGAGTGAGGGGCTGGTTAGGTGATGAGTTTAATAATCTAATGGAAAAGACACACCAGGAGTGAAAATACTCTAAGAAAACAGATAAAAGGCACAGGCAAATGCTTACACAACTAATCACATGTCTACAGAATTAGTGTAGGCTTAGAGCAGTTCATGTACTGAAAAATATACTACATGTTAACAAATTAATGGGCATGAACATTTTTAAAGGAACAATTCATTAGTTTTTTAACAGCTAATATTCAATTCAAAATCCAAACACTGAAAATTCTGTCCTCTCTCTAGAGTGCGATCATTTTTTCAATTACGTATATTTTCAAACACACATAATATGTATAGGTATACAGGTATAATTACACATGTACAACACATATAACTTCAAATATATACAAAAGTAGGCCTTTTGAAAAGCTAATAATTATTTACTCATTTATGTAGCGAATAGTGTAATGATCCCCCACATCCTCATTATCCAGCTGCACCAACCATCACCTCATGGCCATTATTATTTTATATGCATCTGCACCAACTTCCTTCTTTATCCTGTGCTTTTTTTTTTTTTTTTTTGGTACTGGGGATCAAACTCGGGACCTTGCACTTGCGAGGCAGGCACCGGAACCACTGAGCTAAATCCCCGGCCCCATATCCTGTGCTATTTTGAAGCAAATCCCAGGCATCACAATTAATTTTGCTCCCTCTTCCTTTTTCATTTCTTTTTGTTTTTTCCAGTACTGGGGATTGAACCCAGAGCCTCAGGCAAGTGGGCACTCTTCCACTGAGCTACATCCCCAACCTTCTTTATTTAATTTTGAGACAGAGTTGCCCAGGTTGGCTTGAATTTATGATCTGCCTGCTTTAGTCTCCATATAGCTGTGATTACAGGTGTGAGCCACAGTGCCCCGCTTCAGAGTTCCAATTATAAATATTTTTTTTTGGTTCTTTTTTTTTTTGGTGCTGGGGATTGAACTCAGGACCCTGAGCTTGCAAAGCAGGCGGTGGAACCACTGAGCTAAATCCCCAGCCCAAATTATAAATATTTAATATGTACCTCTAAAAAATAAAACTCATCTCAATATGATCCCTCCTACACTTAAAATGAATTGATTCCATAATATCCAGGTGATCATGTTTTAGGCAGCAAATGAAAAATGTCGGCCAGTGGAGAGATGTAAAATGTAGGTTAAGAATCCCTTATCTGAAATTCTAGGGACAAGAAGTATTTCAGATATTAGACTTTTTCAGATTTTGGATTTTTTGCATAGACTCTATAGTGTAAACATCCCTAATCTGAAAATTCAAAATCTGAAATTGAGCATTTTGGATTTTGGATTTTTGAATTGGGATGTTCAACCTGTACTGCAATTTCCATTTGCTCTGGGTTACATGAGACACGTTTCTAGTTTTGCTGTTAAGCTCCCAGGGGTGAGTGATAAGATCTCACAGCAAACCTAATTTTCATTACTTGTTTGTTCTAAATTTCAGGGTAGGAAATGACGGGGATAAAGCCCTCATAAAAGGAGAACTACAGAGCCTGCTTCCTCATGAGCAATTCCTTTGGACAAGGGTGAACTCCACATAATAAGCCAGTGTCATGGTACCAAACATTGCTTCTTAGTGACACACACGTCTCAGGAACGTGAGCACCACAGTGGGTAAGGGAACTACTTGTCAGTTCAGAGCATGGTCCAGAGGCAACAGGCTGTAAGGGTTTTCCATTGTCTGACTGTGCTGGTTTCTGTTTCTTTGGAACTGTTTTAGAAATTTATTTGATGTGTAATAATACAGTTAATGGCATTCATAAGGTGGAGAAGAAAAATGGAGTCATGTAAGAAAGAGGTTTTAGCTTTAAGGGATATATCCATATTCTCCATATTTCTTTGTACAATGATTGATTGGTGAATGCTTCTTTAAAGAATATTACATAAACATAGATCAATTTATAAAGTTCCTGAAATTCACAGGCAAAAAATTCTCTAAAACAAACCCTATTATAAAATAAGTGCACATTTTATACATGTAATAATTATTTCCTACTTTATGTTCTTTAGAGGATAGGTTTTTTTTTTTTTTCAATGAAACAATCCCAAGTAGGTTTATAGGAGGAAATCACATATTCTTGGAGACATGCATGCCTTTTCACTCATGCACCAGTACTGGAATAGCTGCCTAACTGGTTTTTATGCCTCTTATCCCACCCCTTCACACTGAGTTGTCCTCCTAAATAAAGCACATATCTGGTCCTGCCACTTTACCAATAGGCATTTAATGCTTCCATCACCTCACAAAAAGCTCTCATTTCTTACCAAAGTATTCAAAGTTCTCTGTGATCTGCCCTTAACTTACTGGAACAACCTTATTCCCCACTGCTCTCTACACTCCGCACACACTATTCTCCAGCCAATTGCTAGTGTGTGTTTTTAGAACATAGTCTGTGCTTTTCCAAACACTGAACTGCTGAATTCACGTCTAGAATGAAGAGCAGTATAGCCCAGTTTTTAAGAGGTGCCTTCATGTCTGACTGGACTGAATCCTGGCTCTGTGACTTACTGCTGCATGACTGTGAGAAAAATCACTTAATCTGCCAGGAGTTCGCTCAGTTCTAAAATAGGATAATTGATAGTACACTTCTCATTGAACTACTGTGAGGATTCCGTTGGATTAGGCACGTAAAATGCCTAGCACAGTCTCTGGCAAATGGCAGACATCCAATCTGTGACACCTCTTAGACCTCGAATTTCAATCTGTTAAGAACTAGCTACCTAGCAAAGATACCACCCTATGAAGCATTTCTAGTTGCCCAGTCTGCCACAGTCTCAGCTCATTTATACCTCTCTCTCAGCCTAATACTTTTCGCCTTTCATTATAATTACTTATACACACATCTTCTTTGCACTACTGAACCCCTGACATGTACTACATACCTTGAAGAAAACTTCATTCTCTGACATACATAATGTGGTTAACAAACGTACATCAGCAACTCAAATACATTTCACCAATGTTTACTGAATAAAGCTGTGGCTCATTATTACCATTATTATATTTTGTTTCCCTGCGATTCTCTTCTACAGTACCATTTTCCCTATTATTAAGCAGAATTTTCCTCTTGAGAGAAAATGCAATAAAATATAATAGAACATACCTAAGTTTAGTATGCTATCAAGGGAAAAGTGATATTGGCACTATCAGAGTCAAAAAACACCATCGAACTATGATTTCATCCATTTACAAAGTTTTTCCAAAACCAATACATAAAGCATTAATATAGTAGGGGGCTAAAATCACCACTAGTTCCTTTCCTGATGATGCAGTTATGATTTGCATTTTTATATTTTTATTTTGGATTTTTTTTTTTTGGTACTGGGAATTGAACTTGGGTCCTTGCACTTGTGAGGCAGGCGGCGGAACCACTGAGCTAAATCCCTGGCCCTATTTTGGATGTTTTGAGTCAGGGTTTTGCTATGTGGTTGAGGATGGCCTTGAACTCTCAGTGATTCTCCTGCCTCAGCCTTCCCAGTGCTGGGATTACAGGTATGCACCACCACGCCCAGCTTATGATGCGCATTCTTGATGCACATATAATTCAAGGTAGAACAGATAGTGAAGGCTACACATCTTTGCTGCACCCTCTAATCCTATCCATAGGCAGTCGAGGCCATGAAGTGAAAGACTACCTTGGGACTTAGCTACAAAAATGTGGCAATACTAATTGCTGGAGGAGTCATCTCTCTTGTACTAAACGGTGCTTTAAATCACTGCCAGGTTCTCAGTGTTAGCAAGACTACAAGTGTGACTGTTCAGACTCCTGCCTCACCCAAATACCAAAAGATGACACCTACGATGCCTACCACAAGAGGCTATAATGCAGTTGGACAGCATACTTTGACCATGTGAAGCAGACACGTGCCATCAAGGCGGCTTCACATGAAACGATTGCTCTGGGCTGTCAGAGAAAGAGAAGTGGCTTGCTGTCAGGCAGGGCTGTCCATCTCCTTTGTCCCGCCCCCTGGTTGAGCACTGTGACCTTGTGGTGGGACTAGGCTGGTTTCCTCACTTGAGCTCCAGAGTTCTAGCTCTGTGGGTCACTGTAGGAGAGAAAGCTTTATTCAATTATAGCCAGTTTCATGTTTCTGAACATAATGTGTTTCTGAAACATATTTAAAAATTAAATGTATAAAAGTAAAAAAATAAGCTTAAATGTATTAAGGACAGTTCATTTCCAGAAAGCTAAATACTTCATAAATCCCTAGTTATAGCTCACATTTTATTTTATTTTATTTTATTTTATTTTTTTGGTACTGGGGATTAAACTTAGCACCTTGTGCTTGTGAGGCAGGGAGTAGAACCACTGAGCTACATCCCCGGCCCTATAGCTCACATTTTAATCACAGTATCAAACAATATATTTTTAGCATTTGCAGATGTGAATCATTTTTTAAAATTCTGAATAGATGTCGACTGACATGTGACTAATAGGAGTTTGGATGAGGGTAAAATGCATAGCTCTTGGTACCTCTGAGAAAGATCGTGCTTGACTTAATGACACCACAGTTGCGAGACTGATGCTTCTCTTCATTAGTGTCAGCAGCAGCCTTGCTGGGCATGGTGGCACATGCCTGTAACCCCAGCTACTTGTGAAGGAGGGCTGCAAGTGTGAGGTCAGCCTGGTCAACTTAGTGAGATTCTATTTCAAAAAAAAAATTTGTTTTTTAAATGGGCGTAAAGTTCTGGGTCCAATCCCCAGCACTGTAAAAATGTTTTTTTAAATTTTTTTTAATTAAAAAAGATAAACTCAGCAGCAGCCTCATTTTTCCACTTCTCATTATTATTACTACAAGAAAAGGATGAAAAGTATTCAAATTGTTACAAAAACCCCACTGTACCAACAGTGAGATCAACCCTAGCAAGACTGCACTGTGGGCATGGCAGAGGGTACCACATTGCAACAGCTCCGAACGATGGATAAGAGCCTAAATATACGAAAAGTAAACAAAGGAGAAATTGTGCATTCAGCTAGCACAAAATTAAAGTGGGTGAAAGACAAGGGCTGCTTGTACTATTAAGACCATCTCTGCATAATACTTTATGGGTTCCAGTTTACTTACACGGACATTACCTCACTTGCTCATTACCTCACTCTTTATCTCACCTCTCATCCTTCAGTTGCAAGAAAGAACAAGAATGGTAAGATTATAGAAATTAGCAATTTTTTAGCATGTAATATTAGTTAGCAAGTATTATTTATCTTACTTGATATGGTAAAAACCAAGTGACTGCATAAGCATCTAGTGAGATGTTAAGAAGAAAGATATGTTAAAGAATTTCTTTACACCAGGACAACAGAGTCAAAAACAATAACAACAACAATAACAACAACCCCCTCCAAAAAAACCACAACAGTATCACAGACCCAGTAGATATCAGTGAGATACAAGGCAGGCATCTGTGGAAATGGCTGTTGGCTTCCTAGATTCTTAACTCATCAGTTGGGGAGCAAGCTCTCCTTCAGAGTGAGATCTTCAGCACCAGATGTGTTCAATAGAACATAAGTGTACTGATGAATCTCAAAAACAGTGTTAAGGGCCGGGGATTTAGCTCATTGGTTTCTCTGCCTGCCTCACAAGCACAAGGTCCTGAGTTCGATCCTCAGTACAAAAACAAACAAACAAAAACAGTGATAAGTGTAATGCCAGCTCCTCAGTATGCCGAGGCAGGTGGATCTGAAGTTTGAAGATAGCCTATGCAACTAAGCAAGAACCTGTCTCAAAATAAAAATTGAAGAAAGGGCTAGGAATGTAGCTCAGTGGTAGAGCCCTTGCTTAGCATGTCTGATGCCCTGGGTTCAATCCCCGAACCATCAAAACAAACAAAAAAAACCAGTTGGGCCAGGGATTTAGCTCAGTGGCACCACGCCTGCCTCACGAGCCCAAGGTCCTCAGTTCAGTACCCCCCTGCTGAAATACCCATTGAGTAAAATAAGCCAATTACAAAAGAATAGCTGCTATAAGAGTTCATTTACAAATACACTATGTGTTTCCATCTACATAAAGTTCAACAAAAAATTTAAGCAAAAGAAGTCAAATACTGGTTGCCTCTGGTAGGAAACGCTGACTAAAAGAAAGATAAGGGGTGATGTAATTGTTCTATGTTTTGTTTTGGGTGGTGGTTATGTAAGAATATTTCATTGCCACAATCTATGAAGCTAAGTTAGTACCTGTGCATTTTATATATGTAAACCACATTTGAAAAAGAAAATACTGTTAAGAAAATGAATAGAGGGTTGGGGATTTAGCTCAGTGGTGCCACTGCCTGCCTCACAAGCACAAGGTCCTAAGTTCGATCTCTGGTACCGCAAAAAAGAAAACAACAAAAAAAACCCCAAATAAATAAATTGAAAGCAAATAATTTTTTTAAAAAAGAAAATGAATAGACTGATATACCACAGATTGGGGAGATGATATGTCCAAAGCACGACTGAGATATAAGAGAGATAATATGTACAATACATACGTGTGACAAAAGATTTGTGTCCTGAATATATCAAGAACCTTCAAAAATTCTCAGTAAAAAACCAACCATTTCAATTTAAAATGTGCAAAGCGTTTGATCAAATGCTTAAAAAAGACATAGAATGGCCACTAAGCACATGAAAAGGTACTAAATATCAATACTCACCAGGAAAATGCAAATAAAGCTTCAATATATGATGTCATTATACGTGCACTAGAATAAATAAAATGAAAAACACTGATAATATCAAATGTTTATAAGGTTGTCGAGCCACTGGAACTCTTGATCATTGCTGGCAGAAGTGTAAACAATTCTCTCACTTTAGAGGACCGTTAATTTCTAATAGTACACATATATTTTCTTTATGATCCAGAAATTCTAAGTATTCTCCTAAGAATAATGAAGGTATATATCCACAAAAAGATTTGAAAAAGTACATACAGCCTTAATCATAATAATTAAAATACTTCAAATTCGTATCACCTGGAGAATGGATAAAGAAATTTTTTATAGCGATAGCGACATGAAGTAACAAATAACTGTTAAATGTAAACCATGGCTGAATCTCCAAAAATTACACAAAAGTATACATATTATGATATATTTATATGATTCAAGTATCTGAAGTCCAAGAACAAGTAAAACTATGGTGTTAAATATCAGAAAGCAATTGCACTGAAGGTAAGTAGAAAACTTGAAACTAGTACTAGGAAAGTAGAATATTCTATCTCTTATTTTAGGTGATGCTGCATGAATAAATACAATGGGGAAAACTCATTTAACTGAATTTTTAATATCAATTTAAAAATCTTTAACTCCCTGATCTCAAAACTATAGCAACCAAAACAGCATGGTATTGGCATAAAAACCAACATATAAACCAATGGAACTCTTACACATAGTTGGTGGAAGTATAAATTAGTACAACCATGGTTTTCTATAGATGCGGCCTAGAAAATTAAAAGTAGAGCTACCATGTGATCCAGCTTTCCCAATTTGGGGTACATTTCTAAAGGGAATAAAATGAGCCCATAAGGTGATACCTGCACTCCCACAGTTTTTTGCTTCTTTTTGTTTGGTGGTGGGGCACCATATTAGTCATTTTCTCATTATTGGAACAAGATATGTGATACCCACAATTTAAAGGAGGATAGATTGATTTTGACTCACAGTTTCAGTGGATTCAGTCTGTGGTCGGCAGCTCCAAGGCAGAAATGGCAAGGCAGAATGGCATGGTGGGCAGGAAGTAACAAAAGAAGGAAGGAGCCAGGGACAAGGAGATAGCCTTCCAAGTCATGCTCCCAGTGACCCGACTTTTCTGACCAGGGCCCACCTCTGAAAGTGAGATTTGGGGTGCATATTTTAGATCTAAATCATAAATAGCACTCCTGTGTTTCTTGCAGCACTACTCTTAATAGCCAAGATATGGAATCAGCCTATGTGCCCACCTCAGGATGAATGAATAAAGAAGTTTCCTATAAATACAAAAGAATATAGTTTAGGTATAAGAAAAATGAAATCCTGTCATTTATATCAAATGAATGGAGTTGAAGAATAGATAACACTGATTTTTGACAAAGACAACAAAAACATACACTGGAGGAAGGATAGTATCTTCAATAAAGAGTGTCAGAAAAATTGTATATCCATATGCAGAAGAAGTAAATTATATTTTTATCTCCTGCCATTACAATAACCAACTCAAAGACCTTGATGTAAACCCTAAAACTATGAAACTACTTGAAGAAAACATAGGCCGAACACTTCAGGACATCAGCATAAGCAATGATTTTTTTTTTTTTTTTTTTTTGGCTAAGAGCCCAAAGAAATAATAGATAGTAGCTATAATGATTCATTAAAAATGTCAGCCAGATCATGAGATTCCTCTGTCTAATGCCAAGGATTCCTGTCTCAAATGTATAAGCAATGATTTTTTTTTTTTTTTTTTTTTTGGCTAAGAGCCCAAAGTAAAAATAGATAAATGAAATTCCATCTAATTAAAAAGCTTCTGGGGACAGGGATTTAGCGCAGTGGCACTGTTCCTGCCTTGCAAGAGCAAGGTCCTGTGTTCAATCTCTGGTACTGGAAAAAAAAAAATGTAAGTTCTTTGCCAGGGATTTAGCTCAGTGGTGCTGCCTCCTGCCTCACAAGCGCAAGGCCCCGAGTTTGATCCCTGGTACCAAAAAAATGAAAAATAAAAAGCTTCTGTACAGCAAAACAGTCACCAAAGTGAAGAGATAATCTGCAGCATAAGGGAAGGTATTTGCAAACTATTTGTCCATATTAACTCTCTAAAACAATAATGAATAGTAGGGTTAACATGTATAAAATTAAAATACATGACATCACTAGCACATAAGTAGGGAGAGAAGTAAATAGGGTTAAAATATTCTAAGATCCTTTTCAGCTAAGAAATAAAAATAGAAACATTCTAGTAAGTTAAAGAAGTATGTGATAAAATGCAGAGAATTATAAAAGTGTTTATAATTAACAAACTGATAAAAGATAAGTAGTTAAAAATAAAAAATGTTCAGTGAATCCAAAAGAAAGCAATAAAGGAGAATGAAAGGAAAACAAAATACATGGAACAAGCTGGGCATGGTGGCGCATGCCTGTAATCCCAACACTAAGAGAGGCTGAAGCTGGAGAATCACTAGTTCAAGCCCAGCCTGGGCAATTTAGAGAGACCTTGTCTCAAAATAAAAGGGTTGGGGCATGTAGCTCAATGTGAAGGGCCTGGATTCGACCCCCAGTTCTGTAAATAAATGAATATAAAATTTAAAACATGGAACAGATAGAAAGTTAGGGCAGGCATGGTGGTGCACACCTGTAATCACACACGTGGGAGGCTGAGGCAGAAGGATCACTGCGAGTTCAAGGCCAGCCTGGGCTACATAGTAAGTTCAAGGCCAGCTTGAATTAGAGGGAGACCCTGTCTCCAAAAACCTAAAAATGCCTGCCTCACCAGCACAAGGTCTCGAGTTCAATCCCTGGTAAGGACAACAACAAAAAAACCTGAAAAAAAAAGAAAGAAAATAGTAAGATGGTAAATTTCAAACCAAACATCAATAACTACATCAAATGTAAAGGACCGCCAAATAATACTCCAAATGGAAGACATAGATGGTCAGACTACATTGAAATATTTAAGCTCTAAGCACACCTTGATTATAAAAGAACTGTTCTATGACTATAAATATATGTACAGAGATATTGTAAGTAAAAACATGTACCATATAAACTCTAAACAAAAGAAAACCGGTATAACTATATTAATAACAGATGAAATAGATTTTGGGGCAAGAAGTATTAGTTAATAGGAGAAATATCTCATAATGAAGAGGTATGACTCACTGAGAAAATGCAAAAATTCTGAATTTTATGCTTCTAATAATATAGCCTCAAATGTATATAAGGAAATTGATAAAATTGAAGGGAGAAATAGAAATAGCCATGGGACGTTAACACACACCCCTCAAAGCTCTTATGTTTTCTTTTTCTTTTTTTTTTTTTTTGGTACCGGGGATCAAACTCAGGTCCTTGCACTTCCAAAGCAGGCAGTGAAACCACTGAGCTAAATCCCCGGCCCACCCCTCAAAGCTCTTAGAACAGGCACCCATCAAGAATCAGAAATTCGCCAGGCATGGTGATGCCCCAGGAGAGACAAGCCATCTAGGCACAAAACATCTTGATACATCTTGACAATCTGAAAGGACAGAAATACTAGGGAAATGATGAATGCGGAAGTTTTCTCGATTATCATTTCAGAAAACCTAGCATGGAGGGCCGGGGATTTAGCTCAGTGGTTCCGCTGCCTGCCTCACAAGCAGAAGGACGAGAGTTCGATCCCTGGTACCAAACAAACAAACAAACAAAAATCTAGCATGGAACCACACAGCACAGGACCACTAGCTGGTATCACATAGTGGCATGCTCAGCTCAGGCCAGCATACACCCACCTTCTAACTTAGCTTTGTGCTAACCACACGAGTTCAGCTGATCTTTCATCCATGTGACCACACTATTTTCTGTTCTCTCTTCTTCCTGACAGAACTCACAGTTCCCCCAGAAGCTCTAAAAATCATGCACGAATAAGCAGAGCCATGTCAACAGCAGTGCTATAGTCACAAAAGTGTCATCATTATGTTTGGATTCTAGTTTATCTGATAGGAGTTTGTGTGTTATTAACACAAGCTTTAGAGACGCAATAGAATGAACTTACAAAAAACCTACAAACATCTTTGTGTAACAGCCACAAGAAGAGAAGGAAAAAGAACCACGTACCTTACAGTCCAGAAACTAACTTGTGAGGATGTACGAATGCTTCATTATAAAACCAATCCATGAAAAGTGAAAGAAAAAGAAAGAGAGGAAAGAAAAAGAAGGAAAGGAAAGGAAAAGTAGAGGGAGAGGGAGAAAAGGGAAAGGGAACAGGAGGGGAAGAAGAGAGGATAAGACGGGACTCTCACAAAGAAAATTCCAGTTTCATTGATGGATCTTATCATATAAATAATAAATCCAATTGTACACAAAATCTTCAGGGAATAAAATAGTAAGGTAAAACTTTTGATATCAGTTAAACTTTGCTGTATTATTCTGTGGGAACAATCCCCAAATCTCAGTGACTCAAAATAATGGTGATTTCTTCATCACCTTTCACGCCAGTGTGAACTAGCAGTGGATCTTCTCTAGGCTGAGCCTATTCTAAGTTTTTTAGTTCTTCTTATGTAAGTTTTGATCATTTGTATCTTTCAAGGAACTTGTGCACATCATCTAAGATGTCATGTATATTATAAGAAAATTTGTTTTGTTTTTTTGGTACCGGGGATTGAACTCGGGACCTTGCCTTTCAAGGTAGGCCAGCGGAACCACTGAGCTAAATCTCTGGCCCAGAAAATTATTTTTATTCTCATTTCAATGTCTGCTGGTTAGCTAAGTCTCTCTTTTAGTCTTGATATTGGTAATCTGTATTTCTCTGTTTCTTGACCAGTCTAGTTTGTCTTGTGTACTCTTCAAATGATCCAATGTTCGGTTACATTTTTTTCTCTAGTGTTTTCTATTTCATTGAATTCTGACCTTTATTGTCTCCTTCTATTTTCCTGCTACTTCATTTGT